TTTATTTGTTACAAATTATCACATCACTTTCATATTTTTTGTACACATTTTCTTAAAATTTTAATAAGTCACTCATATCCAAATCACTCCTAATTTTATACAAATATATCATGTTCCATGAACTCTAAAAAATAAATAATTTAAATTATTGATCTAAAAAATAAATAATTCAAATTATTGAAATAAAATTTGACGTGAATCTATTTTCCTTAAATTGTGGATCTCATTTATTTTTTTATATTTTAATATTTTAATGAAAAAAGTTACTGAGGAAAAAAATGTATAATGAGCATTTCTATCCAAATCTTAAAATTAGTGTGTTAAAATTTTTTAAACGTTTGGGTAACAAATTAATATATGTTAATTTGATATAAAAAATTTTCATTTCATATGTCAAATTTATTATTTTATTATTTTTTAAAATAAAATTATTTTATTAAATAGATTCAACATAAAACATATTTAACTTGACATGTCGAATTCATGTCAAATATTAATTCAATACTTAACATTTCGAGTGAATTTCATTTCTGGTGTCGAAATAAAATTTTTGAACTATCACATGAAATCTGGCATACCAAGTGGTGGTATTCTCATGTGACAGTTGTAAAAGGTTCATTTGGGATGTAAGTTGGCTTTTTAGCTATTTTAACTTTGGTTAAAAAATCTTATTTTGGATGGATATTTTATTTTTTTTAACTTTTATGAGATAAAAAATAAAATGATTATAATTTGACTTTGATATTTTATTTTATTAACTTTTTTTATATATTTTATTATTTTGTGGCTATTTTAGACCTATTTTGGGATAGGGGTGCAACTCGGGTGGGTTCGGTCGGGTTGGGAGGTTGTCCAAGCCCAGTTCAAGTTGTGTTGAGACTTGCCCAAGCCCGCCCAAGTCCGAATTGTAACCTGAGGTTGTCTATCCAAGCTCGACCCGAGCTAAACCTGAGTTGCCCGAATTGTAAATGAATTTCAGTTTTTTTTTTAATTATTTTTTCATTATAGAAAATCATTAATACCATCAAAATAAATAATTTATATAATGTAAGAGAGATGTCACTATAGTAGTCCTTACAATTTATGAGTGAAAATAAAAAGAAAAAAAAGAGTAAGATTTTATATTATTTGTATATATAATATATATTCAATATGATTTAATAATATAAATTACTTTAATATCATGTAATGACTAATAATTTATATTTATATTTAATATTTTTATATATCTATATATGTATAATTCGGGTTTCGAATTTTTTGACATCTTTGTCCAAGCCCGTCCAAATTTAATTTGGGCTTTTAAATTTTTACCCAAACCTATACCGAATTTGAAAATATTTTATCTAAGTTTTAAAAAAATTCAAACTGGACTAGAATTGCTCGGTTTGAGTCCGCCCAATTTACACCCTAGATTGGGATGCCAAATAAAAGCAAAGTTTATTTGTGAATGGTAGTGAAGTACGAAGCGAGTGAGGAGCGTGTGAGGTTAGGTGCGCGTGGGTAAGTGAAGTACTGTAATTGGGAAACAAGTGAGTTAGGAAGTTGGCACGCGTGAGGTAAATGAGTGAGAGAGTGAATATGCTATAGCCACGGTGCTTTGCTTTCTTTCTCACCACCACATGTCACTTCCCAAGCGCTGGCTCCCGAAGAGCTGTTATCTAGATCCAGTCCCACCATGATCATGACAATCTAAACTGTTTAGTTATACAAATTATTATTTTAAATAAATATTGATAAAATAAAAATATTATATTTATTTAATTAATTTAATTTTTCAGAACACCTTTCTAATTCAGATCAAGACTGAAGAGAAATCTGTTCCGAAATCCTAAACCCCACTCACACGACTTTGCTCGCTGAAGTTCAATTCTATCATAATCGATTGAAATCGAATTATGCATGGACTGTCTAAATTATTCACATTTATTTATTTTTTTGAAGTCATATTAATTTATTTATTTAAAATTAGATCTTATTAATATATAATAACATAAAAAAACAAATATGTATCTATAACCTATATATAAAATAGCGAAAGCAAGCAGCTATTTTTGAATTTAACGTTGGTGGAATTACCAGAAATGCCTACCAAGTGTTCACATTTTTACTTTTGGCCCTAAGAAGTCACCTATATGTCATTTGCAACTCTTCTTTCCAATTTTTGGATTGACATGTCTTCTTGGCCATATGTCGTTTGAGTGAGGTAGGTGTACGTGTCTTTCGCTAAGTATTGTATAGCGATTTCGATTTTGACCCAATCTTTATTGTATTTTAAACTCAGGTTTCGTGGTTTAGTATTGTTATTCATCTCTTGTCCCCTTGTTTTCCTTTAAGTTTGTCTTTTGGATTGTTGTGGTTGTGTTTAGAACAAGTTGATTGATTGATTTTCAAACTTGTGTTACTCAGATTTTTGCTCCTCCACTCAAGCGGCACTTCTTGCACTCAAGTAGGCTTTGCAAACTCTCAGTACTTTTGCAGGTCTGCAAAACAACTGGGAGAGTGTATTCTTGCGCTCAAGTGGGTCTTTCTATGCTCGAGGGGTCTTTCTGTGCTCGAGCGGCCATTTCTTACACTCGAGCAGTTGGTCTGCTACCTGCAAAACTACTAGATGCGTGTTCTACGCTTGAGCGTTACTTCTTGCGCTCGAGCGATGTGCGTCTCTTTCATTGTGTCTTGGTACTCAAGCGGTAATTCTTGCGCTCGAGCAGAACAACTTATTGTATCTGACGCTCGACTGTCAGTTTTTGCACTCGAGCGATGTGCGTCTCTTTCAGTGTATCTTAGCACTTAAGTGGCACTTCTTACGCTCGAACGGAACAACTTATTGTGTCTGACGCTCGAGCGTCACTTCTTGCACTCGAGCGGACTGTGTGTATATCAATTCGGAAAAGTGACTTTTTACATCACTTTTTCAGATCTTTCTTCCTAAACCCTAAAGTTGAGACTCCCTCCCTCTAAAACACTCTCTTTCTCTACATTTTTACCTAGTTCTAGTGATATCTCTACCTACTTGCCTTTGTTAAAAAGTTAAAGCATCTCAAGGGCTACATTTTGATCCAATTAAAGCTTGGTTTCGGCGTCCTTGAAGTTTCTCCATATTTTCTCTTTAGTCTTCTAAGCTTGAGGTAGGGATTTTTTTCACCTTCTTATGGTTTTTAACTTAGTTATTGGTTGTTGTGCAACAATGGTGGATTTTGGGAGTATTTTGGACAAACCTAGGGTTTGGGATGTAAAATCAAAAGAGAGGTTTCTAGTGAATGTGATATAAATGGTCATGGGGTTTGAAAATGAGATTATATTGTATCACAATTGTTGATTTTGGCATTTAGGTTGACATTTGGGAAAGAAGGAAGTTAACCTAAAATGGTTCAAATATTTATTTTGTATAAATAAATAAAATTGGTATTATAAATATGAAATTAGATGAATATTGATGTAAATGGTGGAATTGGATATGCATTACCTCACACTTTTGGAAATTTGAATAAATTATCTGTCTTAAGATTGAATATCTGTTTAGAAATACCTGTATTAGACTATCGGTGGAGGATAGTTATGATTGTTATAGAAATTGTATGAGGATTAGGTGAATTAAAACTAATCTTTCGTGGGTTGTCATTGAATATGACCACGTTCAAAATACATTGTATATATATGATTGTTTGGAGGAGAAAGTAGATGTACTCCATTGTATGAGAGGAGATATGGAATGGACTCTATTGAAATGAGGTTGGCTTGTGTGTCTAAGGTGAAAGTCCTGAAACCACGTGTATACATAGGTATCGATCCCGCGAACGAAATTTTTGTAAAATGGCAAATTAAAGTGTTTGTATAATAATTGTGTTAATTTAGGAACCACTGAGTTGTAGGCTCAGATGGGCTATTTGAAAGATAATGAAATTGGCTCATGAAGTGAGATGAAATAAATTAACTTGAATTGATGCGAAGGAAAAATGATTAAGATATGAATTTTGGTACTTTATGATTATATAGAATATGGATGTTTTATCACTGGCATTGTAAATACACATTATACTTATATCTTTGTTAAGATCCATACACTGTGTTAGATTGTTCCTACTGGGCTTTGGCTCACCCTATTTAGGAAAAATCATTTTCAAGTGTTGATGATATGCCTCCGCCAAGACAGTAGCTTCACTTTTTGTACTTATTTGTATAGCCAAGGACTTAAATTGTATAGAGTTAGACTCTCCGTTCAAAATACATTGTATATATATGATTGTTTGGAGGAGAAAGTAGATGTACTCCATTGTATGGGAGGAGATATGGAATGGACTCTATTGAAATGAGGTTGGCCTGTGTGTCTAAGGTGAAAGTCCTGAAACCACGTGTATACATAGGTATCGATCCCGCGAACGAAATTTTCGTAAAATGGCGAATTAAAGTGTTTGTATAATAATTGTGTTAATTTAGGAACCACTGAGTTGTAGGCTCAGATGGGCTATTTGAAAGATAATGAAATTGGCTCATGAAGTGAGATGAAATAAATTAACTTGAATTGATGCGAAGGAAAAATGATTAAGATATGAATTTTGGTACTTTATGATTATATAGAATATGGATGTTTTATCACTGGCATTGTAAATACACATTATACTTATATCTTTGTTAAGATCCATACACTGTGTTAGATTGTTCCTACTGGGCTTTGGCTCACCCTATTTAGGAAAAATCATTTTCAAGTGTTGATGATATGCCTCCGCCAAGACAGTAGCTTCACTTTTTGTACTTATTTGTATAGCCAAGGACTTAAATTGTATAGAGTTAGACTCTCTTTTGTTATAAGTAAGCAATGACTTGGAAAGATATAAGCTTTTAGAACGTATAATTATCTGTTTAACTTTCATTCCTCCTTACTACTTGTAGCACATGTTGTAAATTCAGGATGAACTATTTATGAATGTATAGCACATGTGTCACTTTTGTACATCAATTTAAATTAATGAAAATTTATTATTTCGATTATATTGTCTTGCATTAATTGTGTTGAATTAGATTATTGTAATTATTTTTAGGGCGTTACATATTGCAACCAAACCGGGTGCAATCATCTGTCCCTCCTAGAATTTTCTTGTGTTCGATGGATTAAATTTTGCAATCAAACGATTCTCTCTCAACCGAAGACAAATGCATATATGTACACACTCGTTGTTCTGTTTCACTTCCCATCTTGGTTTAGCTTCGTTGTTTCTAGGTACACAAATTACAGCCCAAACTCCACAACCTGCGGTATGTAATTTAGTGGTTTTCTACTTCTTTTTCTGCTAGCTATGGATATATTGATATCTGATTTGAATGCCTCTATTCTCGTGGGTGCATGTTAGTGCATACACAAATTAGGCACACCACCTGTTTGACAATATGCTGAACATGCAAACCAAAAAATTGGAGGCTTTCTTAATTGAAAATCTGCATTGAAAATGTGTGAATGCTCATAAAAGTTAGAGAACTCATACTCAGAAACTAAATCAATGATGCTACAGACTTCTATCTCCACTAACAAAATTGATGGATTTGTAGCTTTAAAGACAATACATTAAAATTCAAAAACATTGAGTAGTATTTTGAGATGCAAAAGTATTTCGTTGTGCTTCTTCATGCCGATTGGCTCCTAGAACCTTCCTTGTTTATTGCTACAAGTGGTGGAACTTGTCTTCACTTCTTATTGTGCTTCCTCATGCCGAGCGGCTCCTAGAACCTTCCTTGTTCAGTGCACCGACATGAGAGACCAAGCGGTGAACCTTGTTTTCTTCCTGAGTTTTTGGTCTGCAAAAATGTTTTCCCACGTGCTCAGAAACCAAGGCAGTGACCGACTATACAAAGCCATATATTCCCTTATGCAATTTCCAATCCACCGTGTCTAGAGATCAGCTTTGAAAAATGGACAATTAGGTATATGTTTTTCTGTTTTGCCTTTTTTTTTTTTCTTATGTTTTTTCTTCCTCTATGGAGATTTTGATGTTAGAGTTGTATGGTTACATATTGAGTTCGTGTTGGTTATTTTATAGATAAATTTCGCACACCATCTGCCCGACAATATGTGTGACTGAATGTTTAATATAATTTTCCATGTGTCTTTTTAATTACCAATTAGAGATACTTGACCTTCTAATTTTACTCTACTCGTACAATTAGTCATTTACTTGTGTTCTCCTTTATTCCTTTATTTGAATTGGTGAATTGGTGAATGATAATTTCATTTGTATGGGTTTTGTCATTATTTTTTAGTCAATCAAATATGAGAATAAATATTTGATGAAATGAGCATTCCATTCCGGTGAACTAAAACACTATCTTTGTTCATTGCATTCTCATTCCAGGACGAGAACTTTGAGATATAGGAGATAATGAGGTCAACAGTATAGGCAAATATACGTTGGCCAATTCCATTTGATGAGAACTCTCTTCTACTATCTTCCTTAGTTGCCTGGTAAGTATCTCATCTTCTATATCTTTTACAAGTTTGTATTTCCACTATATTTCGAGCTAATTCTTTTTATTAATTAATGCTTGAATTTGTATATTTTCGTTTTGGTTATTTGGTTTTAATTTTTAAATTTATGATGGTAAGAACAAACTTGAAGCAAGGGAAGAAGGATATGTCAGGGTTAAGAACAAACAGAACACCTCAGTTTTTTTTTTTTTCCCTTCCTCTTTTGCTTTGCTCTGCTCTGATTTCTGTTTATTCATCAAATTCATGCTCTAAATTGTTGCCTAGAACATAAAGCTTTTTTGTTTCCTTCCTAATTTTAATTGTCTTCTGAATCAAAGGAGCTAATAAGGTTAAACTTATTATGGGATGAGTTTTTCGTTTCTTAAATAAGAAGAGTTCATGACATATAGAGCAGCTTAACAGTTCAATAGGTATTGGGACATATTTTTCCAAAATTACAACAGGTATTGGTGTCTATGTATTTTTGTTCTTACATTATTATGATACAATTTGATATTTTGCTCACCATATGTTTGACATTATGCCACTGAAAGAAAAAGAAAAAAAAAAATCAATAGCCAATTTTGTATGTTGTTTAGTGTTTTTGATTGGGAAAATTATTGTTTATTTATTGGTTTATTGTCTTTGGATAGAATATTGCTAAACATCCTAATCAACCATATAATTTCCATTGTTGTTACCTTTTTTGGCTCAAAAGTTGAGATAATGAAAATTTATAGCAATAGTAATCTAACTTTCCTCTCTAGCTTAGAACAAAACAAAACATATTTCACTTCCCCAAGGGCGCTTAGCATTATTTCTTCATCCCCTACTGTTGGTAGAAAAGATAGATTATCTATTAGTATTTGTCTTGAAAAAAAAAAGAAGAAAAAATTACATCCTAATGTCACTAGGTTTACTCCCTCCTCCAAAATAATACCTTTCTAGGGGGGAGGGGGGGAAATACCTTGCCCTAATGTACCTATCCAACCAACAAATTATTTATGATGATTAAAAAAGGAAAAAAATGATAAATATTAATACTAACAGTAATTTGTTTGTACTTAATACAACCTGAAATAAAAATAGATTGGTTATAGATGTAGGAATTTATGATGTGTACCCACAAAGAGAGAATTCTAAACTATTATGGCTAAGTGACAAATGTTGTGGTTATATTATTTTGAATCGTGTGGCGTAAATGTCCCAAATCATTGGTGGCGATAAATTAGGATGCATTTTACACAATGTTGCATTACGCACATAGTCAAGCACAATAGAAAAACAAATTGAAGGAAATGATTTTAATGAGTTGCACATGGGAATATAGGTTTGTGGAGTTTGCAGCATGTTCTCAATTAATATAACATGGTTGGTTGTGTCTTGGAATTAATATAACATGGTTGGTTGTGTCTTGGGCTATTTCAGTTCGAGGAAGGCTCATATATTGGTATTGAGAAAAGTTTGATTCCATGTAAATGTGTGCAAATATATGTGAAGTATGGTAATAACCAATGTTGCATTACTTGAATGAGTTAAGCACAAATCTACTAATCAAAAATTTTGAAAATAAATACTTGATGCTGGAAATTTAATTTGCATATTAAAGTCAAAGATTTAATGATGGAATTAATATTTAAATGCTAGAAATTGTATTTAAGGTGATGTACAGCTCATAATAGCATGCATTTTGAAACTAAAATTGTATAGAAGCCAAAACTACGACGTTAAGAGCGGCAATTATTGATTACCCATTCGATATGTGAGAAAGAGTTTCATTTCTAGTTTCCTTTTTTCAATTTATTTAAAAGCTTATTGAATTTAATGAACAAATATAAAATCCTCCCTTTTCCCAATAGCTAAAATTAAATAGAAAAATATTTGAAGTATCTTGCATTCTTTGACCCATGGAGAGATATACTATGTAGTTATGGATTCATTTGAAGGAAAGAGAAACATAACAAAGAATACAGTATAAGAAAATGATTAAAAAGAGGGGGAGGGAGAGGGGACAAAATCAAACAAACGAATTAATGAAAAAAAATTCAGATACTATAGTAGTTTGTATACATATAAATTAGCCAAATCTATAAAAATATTAGTTCCCTCAATATGACGAACGAGATCGAAGAATAAGATTAGGATTACCTGATGGCATAAATCTACCACTTGGAAAATACACGACCACCTAACCAACAATTGGTGAAAATAGATTAATACTGTTCTATCACACAATTATTAGACAGGGTTGGGGGCTGTGGTTTTCCAATTTGTTATTGTAATTCCACAACTAATTTTCAATGCTTTCCCCTGAGACTCTGTCGAACTTGTACTCGATGATTGTTATTGTTGAAGTCTGGTTCAATTGGGTATGATGTCTTTTGATGGTGATTTTCTCCTTGAAATGGTTTAGTCTGGAAGAAGCTGATAAAGTTGAAGAGCAATTTAGCCAAAGGGTTAAGCTTTGTTAAGAAATTTAGAATTAACATGCTCTTAGAGATTGTTGATACTCTTGGGAGCTTTTGATGGCTTTTTGACTTCTGGATCAGATAAGTTTTCTAGCCTAAAAAACATTCACTGCATCACAAATGACATCCTACATTTAAGGTTGTTCTTCTTTGAATGCTTATGTCATTCCTCTAATCCTGTAGTGAAACTTTCCTTTTCTGATTTTTTTTTTCTTCCTATATTCTTATTGATATAAGAAATGGAAACAATTATCAAATTCCATATCTGTTGCTATTGGAGTTTTCTTCTATCACTCCTTCTTTGTCCAATTCAGTTGGTTTCTTAGGGCATTTGATGGTTTTCCTTCTTAGATAGTTTTAATTTTTTTTTCCTGTGTAACATTATCTCAGGGAAAATATGAGGACACAATAAAGGATTGCACGAAAGCATTGGAACTAAATCCTAATTATCTGAAAGATCTGCTTAGAAGATGAGAGGCTCGTGAGAAGCTTGAACACTTTGAAGAGGCTATTGTTGGTAAATTTAGATTCAGTAGATGTGCATTGTTATCAATACATAAAATGATAGCTACCTGCAGGTTGCCTTTGCTTTCAATCTTGCATTTCCACTCTCTCTCTCTCTCTCTCTCTCTCTCTCTCTCTCTCTCTCAATAGCAAAATATATCTGTTATTGTTTCCTTGTATAATGTTCTAATCCAAACATTTTTTACGCTCTCATTTTTGTTTCTTCCTTTTATTGCATGCTTTGCAGATCTGAATAAAGGCTTGGAATTGGATCACACGTTGGTGGTAGAGAGATGATATAAAGCAATCCTTACAATTGGTTAGTCTAGAGTTCTATTTTAAGACAACAAGGGTCCAATTTGTATGTTGGTTCACAATTTCGTGCAAGATGTGTTCATGATTGACACGATAGAAAAGAAGAAATATTGTGTATTTTGTGTTGAGATTTTCTTGGAAAAAACATTGCTTGGTTCTCATTTTCTAAAAACAGTTTTCAGAAAATTCTACTTTCTTATTTTTTTATTTTTACTCAATTTTTTTAATATTTTATGCGAATTTTTTACTTTTTAGACACACCTAACATAAATACACCTAAAAAGTAAAAAAATTGTAAAAAAAATCTTTTAAAAATTCACTAAATACCAAAAATACAAAAAAATACAAGAATTCAGTACATTTTTTGTATTTTTATGTATTTCTTAATTTTTTAAAATATTTTTACTTTTTAGATACATCTAAGTAAGATGTATCTAAAAAAGTAAAAAAAATGTTTAAAATTTTAAAAATATTCACTAAAAACAAAAAAATACGAAAATCAAAAAATTTAGTTTTTAAAAAATTTAATCTAGAAAATTTAAACCAAACACACTGATTGTTTCTTTGCCTTGCTATATTATTTTTATCAACGATAATACGACCCTCACGGGCGTAACACGTGGGGGTCCAACTAGTATGATGAGAAAGATGGAAATGAAGGAAAGATGTGAACCTCAATAAATAAGTAAATAAAATTTTAAAAAAAATGAAAGTTTGTGAATCAACGAATTGTTACACTATGGTCTTACTATTTTTTAGTGAGATGGGAAAATAATTAACTTTTGTGTTGTGTTATTTATTTATATCATGTATAAGTAAACAAGATCTAAAGATTTTGATTATTTTGGTTCAGAAGGGATATTATTAAATTAAAATCTTAACAAAATTTAAAATTTAACTTAACCTAATTTTTATTTGATGATAAGACTAAAAATTACTGTAATGCGAGAGTTATATTTAAATATAAGTTCAAATTAACCAATCAAATTATATCAAGATGCACACACAAAAAAGAGATACAAAGAGAGATAGAGAAAGAAAATCGTTTTAAATCACTAAATTACATAGCAATATATTAGTTGTCATTAATTTTGTAATAATTATTTGTAAACAAATAAACCAATTATGAGTATTCATATGAGAGGTGATATAAAATAGTGACAAAAAATCTGTAATATATAACATTTCTCTAATATAAAATTTATAGAAATTTTTTTAGCATAATTAAACATTTAACATGAAAAATTAAACACATTTTTTTGAGAAAAAAAAAGAAAAAAAAAAGCTAAAGAAAATAGTGATATCAAATTTTCATGACATTTTGGAATAATTAAATCAAAATATTTAAAATTGAAAAAATTATGTATATTATACCAGTTACAGTAAAGATAATTTCAAAAAAAAATAAAATTACATGTGTATTTGCCCCCTCAAAGTTCGAATCATGGATTCATCATTGAGGGGCATGTGACTTCCTTGGACCTCACGTGCCTCTGTCACTGGTCGTATGTATAAAAAAAAGATGTTATCATTAATTTTCTACTAAAATGTATATATATATATATATTTTTTTTTATTAGCAAAAAAAATGAACTTTATTTATTTTAGCATGTGTAAATCATTTACATTAATTTGATCAATTTACCCTTATTAAAAAGAGAATCAATATAATTATGTCGTACTTATAAGACTTGTGGAAGCAGAAATTATCCCACATATATTAATCAAGAGATTAACAAAGAATTGAGTCACACCGTTCCGAATCTGCAAAAGAATAAATGGTTAGTGCCTCTCGACTGGTGGTTGCCGATCGGAGGGCACTTCGACGATCAAATTAGATAGCATATATCTAAATGACACTGAATAAGTAAATAGAATAGTTTAGGCATACCTCCACTGAGAGTTGAAGAATACATCCATTTATAGAGGCAAACTTGCCACTCATTTTGTCCAATGAGCTTAAGCCACTAATTTGGTCCAATGAAAATAAGTCACTTGTATGGCCCAAAACTTATTTGATATATGTATGTCAGAGCAAGTTGCATTGCAAGGTATTGTTTTATTACCTTAATTCTATTTTCATGTAGGCATTGGGTGGGCCCACCTCACATGGTTTATTTTTATCCCTCGACAGGACTAATTACATTTTTCTCAAACCTGAGGAGAAATTAGTGTAATTTATCTTAATTTATATATACATATATATATATATATATGAAATTTGAGTTTAATAACAGGATTCAACAGTTAAAATTAAATGTATTAAGTGATAATCAATTAAGCCTGTTTGATAACCACAATTGATATTACTTAAAAACTTAAATATATCTTAAAATGTAAACTTAAATTTAAAAAAATTTTAAGTCATACAAAACTTATGTAATTCTGACTAAATTTATAAATACTACACATAAATATCGATATACAATATTATAAACTCACCACCACTACCACCACTACTATTACAACTACCACCACCACCACCACCATCATGCCACTGCCACCACTATCACCATCGCCGCTGCCACTACGACCGCTACTACTCACCATCATGCCATTGTCACCACTAGCATTATTACCACCACATTCATCACAATTATCATTGTTGCCATAAGTCTACCATTATTTTACTATCACTACCATCGCTATCGCCACCGCTACCACCGCTACCACCACTACCACCACCATGCCATCATCACCGCCACCACCTCGGCCACTGCCATTGCAACCACCAACATCATACCATCACCACCACCACTACCACTACATTAAAATATATAATTTGAAAATAATAAATTTTAAATTTGATCTTATGCATATCAAACAACTTGATTTTAGTTCAATACTAAAATTTAAACAATTTATTTTTAATTCAATATTTAAATTTTTCTCAAACAATTTTTCAATTTAAAAAGTTCAGTTGATTTTCACTTTTCAGTCACCTTAATCAATGTCTTTGTTCAAATTTGGTTCATTTGAACTTTAAAATTTTTGCTTGTATCTATACCAAATTAAGGAGTGTTTGGCAAGAAAATTTTAGCCACTTTTAGGTTAAAATCTATAAAAAAAAAAAAAGAAGATAAAATAAGTTAAAATAATTAATAAGATAAAATATCAAAAATAACATATTAAAATAGCTAAAAATTAAAATAACCTACTAAAATAACAACTTTTCAAACACCCACTATATATATATATATGTTATTCGAGTCTTAAAAAAAATTTAGTTGCTTAAAACCCTTTATTAGAGATTTTTTGGAATGAATGTTCTCATCAAAATAGTTAAAAATTTATAAATAAATAAAAAAGGGTCAAAATATTATGTCTTTTATGTTAATTAATTATTTTTTCTCTTAAAATCATATATTCAAACGAAAAATTTATTCTAAACAAATTAACTTTTTTCATTTTATAAAAAAAAAAAAGACTCAAAAAATTAAATAATTACTAAAAAAAAAGTTCTCAAACAAGCGCTCACGGGGTATCTTAGAGAGAACCGCCCTGTCACTTGCGCGGTGTTTGGATGAGTTTATGCTCATCAATATCTCTCAAGATCAAATTGCAACTTGCAACGTCACAGAGAAAAGTGATGGTCTAGTTGGAGTCGAGGAGGGTCCATTCGATGTGACCCCATGTTATGGATAAATAATGCCGACTAACATGTATGACATTTGACATTTGACATTTGACATTTGACATTTGAATTATTGTTAGGCTTCTCAGAGATCTCCCATAGTTTCGTACTGGAGTTATTATTGTTGGTATTTTTTTTTTATAATAATGAGTTCGTTTGGAAAGTATGGGTTTAGATTTTTTTTGGTTAAAATAGATATAAAAAATAAAATAAATTTTTTAGTTTAATAAAACAAAATATTTCATCTAATTCATAATTATTACATTTTTTTTTCACAAAAAGTTTAAAAAGTCAAATAATCATTTCCAAACCAGGCTTTTTAATCTCATGCTAAAATAGTCAAAAAATCAAAAAGCCAACCCACTTTCCAAATGAACCAAATACATGAAAAATATATAAAATAAATTAAATAGAAATGATAAAACAATTATTATTATTATTTTTTATTATTAAAGAATGAAATATACAATAAACTATAGAACTAAAAAAAATACAAGAATGAACTAGATTACACCATGGAACATATTACAAGATGGATTCAAATGGACATATAAAATAATATACGAGAAATTATTTAATTTAAAATTTTGAATAACAAAAGATAAAGGATGCAAACTGAAACTTGTGTGATACCACAGTTTCTTTAAAACAGATTCACTGCCTCCTAGTGGGTGCTGGAGGTACGCCGACATCTGTCTCCCAAGATATGATGGTTGAAACCAACTAATGCAGAAGCACCATCTGAATAGCTTCGGCGAACTTGACAATGGATGCACTCTCTCTAACAAGAATCAAAGAAGGGGCTAGCAAAAGAAGATAGGAAAAATTTTCTTTGGTGTAAAATAAACATCTCCAACTTTTTATCTCAAAACACCATCTTCATTTTTCATCAAAAATCTCTCTAAAAAACTTTTTTCCAAGTTGAAGGGGAAAGGCCTTTATTTATACAAGTAGGAGAATCCCTAGCCATGAAGGCTATACATCAATAGGGCCATCAAATGTCATTAACCAAGGCCATCAACTCTAACCATTAGGACTAGAGATACAAAGGTTGAAAACCTATGGCCACTAATGTGGTCATCGACTCCATCATCAAAAGATAAGAGTTACAAAGGTCTAACCTTCCATATGCTTAATATATACAAATAAATATGTATATAATGATGTTTGAATAAACTAATTAGATGAGTCACAAAATGGATACTAATGTTGGGTCATAACCCGATCCAAACCCAATTCTCAAACACGTGCACAAGCTAAGCCCAACACAACATAGCTTAGCCCAAGCTTAAGATTAAGTCCAAGTCTAAGTCTAAGTCCAAGACCAAACCCAACACATGCACAAGCACAAGTACAAGTCTAGGCCCAGTCCAAACTAAGACTAAGTCTAAATCTAAGCCCAACTTTATTGATGCCCAACTTTATTGATACCCACTTTATGAGACAATTCTTATTCGCAACTCAATGGTCTCAGCTCATTATTTTTATATTGTAATCTTCTCACTTGAGAT